TTGAAATGCAGCAAAGGTAGGACACAGGGTTATTCATATCAACAGTGTTTATTCATTGCAGAAGCCATTTCATGTGTTATCCATGCTCATTGTATTAAATTAATTTAATCAAAACAATAATTAAACTAGGCCTATGTATTTCTGTAGCATGGAGCCATCACAAGAACCGGGCCCATCAAGTTTGCCGCCTGAACCATCTGCAGCTGCTACTCAGGATAGCCCGGCGGATCAAACACCATTCCCATCCGCAGCACCTGCTCCGTCAGCATCCCTGCAGGAGAGAAGATTGCAACTCACAATTGATGTGTTTGAACAACAAAAAAAAGTCCTTTCCCTTCAGGAGGAGTACTACCGCCTTAAAATTGAACACCTAAAAAATAAACCATTTAGAGATTGTGTTCTGTGTCTTGCATTTAACAGTTGCAGGTGATGTGCAGTAAAACTGTGGTAGTTCTTAATACCATCACAAGTTCTCAAATGACATGGGGCTACAGCTTGCCTGAAATGTAAATTTGTGAAGTTTGCCCTGTAAGGCAGTCCACTCTGGGCTAGGTTCCCCTGTGGAATGTGAATATCTTCTTCACCACCATCCTCATCGTTGTCTCCATCCTCATCGCCATCCTCCAGAGGTTCTGCAATCTGTCTAACCTTGCAAATATTGTGTAATATTGCACAGGCTATGATGAGTTTGCTGACTTTTTCAGGCCTCAGCCGCACCTCTCCGTGGAGAACATGAAAGCGCCTCTTAAGCTGGCCTATGCCACGCTCCACCACCGCTCTTGTTGTCTTGTGGGCCCTACAATAGAATACAGACCTTTAATTATTTGATGGAAATATTGCACTACTTGGATGCTCTAACATATTGCTTGCATTTCATTTCCATGATTTTTGTATTGTTTGGCTTACCTGTTATAGTTTAGTTGGGGCCCTTGGCGTGGCTGGAGGTAAGGTGTAAGGAGCCATGGTTTGCATGGGTAGCCACTGTCCCCTAACAAGTGGCAATTAGCTGGCACATAGCGTCTCTCAAAAAGCTGTCTGATGCCACTCTCGGAGAGCATTCTCGCATCATGTGTGGAGCCTGGCCATTTAGCCACAATGTCCAAAATCTTCCAGGCCGCATTGAACACTATTTGCACATTGATGCTGTGGAAATTCTTCCTGTTAACAAAGACAGCCTCGTCCTCTGATGGCGCAATTATTCTCACATGTGTTCCATCAATTACACCCACAACGCCAGGGAATCCTGCAATGTCCATAAATGCCCTTTTATGTGTGTGTAAAGTGCGGGCATCCAGCGGGAATGAAACAAATTGTGTCACAATATTAGGTTGTGACAAAGCTGTCAGTGTTTGGGTGATGACTCTGCTGACGGAGGATTGGGACAGACCCAAGTCATCACTGCTGCATTGTTGCATTTTCCCTGTTGCCAAATACCTCAGGGTTGTGATTACTTTCTTCTCCGGTGTAATAGCGTTGTGGCGTCGAGTTGGTGAAGTAATTGCATCTCTAAGGAGATCCACCACAAACATGATTCCTGCACGATCCAATCTGTAGCGTCTCAATAATTCCCTGTCATCCAGTGTTTGCAGGACATCTCTCCTGCCTCCTCTGTTGGCCATTTTGTGCAGCTGCTTAGGGTAACTCCTAAGCCACTAAAAGTCCTCTTCCCTGCTCTTAGCAGATCTCGCCTTAGGAGCCCTTTTAAGCGCTAGGACTCTTGAGGAATAGCTTTTATATTAACTGGGATTTTCGTGTCACTTTTAGGGGAAATTCTAAGAAAACGTCATGCCTCTGAGAATTTTCTTAGAATTTGGCCGCTAGGAGCCACTTTTTGCACAAAAATTCTTTAGAGATACGGGCCCTGGTCTGCACATGCTCTGAGGATGCGGCTAGGGATGCCGTCTGGGCCGGCAGCCTTGCGGGGGTTAACATGCTTAAATGTCTTACTCACGTTGGCTACAGAGAAGGAGAGGCCACAGTCCTTGGTAGTGGGCTGCGTCGGTGGCACTGTGTTATCCTCAAAGCGGGCGAAGAAGGTGTTTAGCTTGTCTGGAAGCGAGACGTCGGTGTCGGCGACGTGTCTGGTTTTCCTTTTGTAGTCCGTGATTGTCTGTAGACCCTGCCACATACGTCTCGTGTCTGAGCCGTTGAATTGCGACTCCACTTTGTCTCTATACTGATGTTTTGCCAGTTTAATTGCCTTGCAGAGTGAGTAGATACACTGTTTGTATTCTGTCATATTCCCAGTCACCTTGACATTCAACACGCACAGCACTTACACAAATGACTGATGATTGGCTGAGAGAAATTGATGATAAAAAGATTGTATGGGCTGTTTTGTTAGACTTCAGTGCGGCTTTTGACATTATCGATCATAGTCTGCTGCTGGAAAAACTTGTGTTATGGCTTTACACCCCCTGCAATATTGTGGATGAAGAGTTACCTGTCTAACAGAACACAGAGGGTCTTCTTTAATGGAAGCCTCTCCAACATAATCCAGGTAGAATCAGGAATTCCCCAGGGCAGCTGTTTAGGCCCCTTACTTTTTTAAATCTTTACTAACGACATGCCACTGGCTTTGAGTAAAGCCAGTGTGTCTATGTATGCGGATGACTCAACACTATACACGTCAGCTACCACAGCGACTGAAATGACTGCAACACTTAACAAAGAGCTGCAGGTAGTTTCAGAATGGGGTGGCAAGGAATAAGTTAGTCCTAAATAGAGAGATTGACTTCATCACTACTTGTTTTTGTAAGAAGTGTTGAAGAGCTGAATGAACCGAGCTGTCTCTTTAAACTACTGGCACACAGCTCAGACACCCATGCATACCCCACAAGACATGCCACCAGAGGTCTCTTCACAATCCCCAAGTCCAGAACAGACTATGGGAGGCGCACAGTACTACATAGAGCCATGACTACATGGAACTCTATTCCACATCAGGTAACTGATGCAAGCAATAGAATCAGATTTTAAAAAACAGGTATAAATACACCTTATGGAACAACGGGGACTGTGAAGAAACACACACACAGGTACAGACACACGCATACGCACACAAACGCTAGCACACGCACTCTACACACACGTACATTGTAATATTGTTGCATGGTGGTATTATGCATTTTGTATTGTAGATATGTAGTGGTGTAATAATGTTAATTTTAGAAACACTTAAAATATATTGATAAAAGTTTCCTTGTCCTAGAGAGATTTTCATGGTTATAAAACGTCACACCAGGGTAAGCCTACACGAAACACAGCCCTTATTTTAAGTGTTTCTAAAATCCCGCAAGGTTTTATGGGTATTATGACTCATACTGTGGTAATCTATTATGGATATTTTTATTTTGTCAAATGGCAGTCAAGCGTCAATCATCATGTCACCAGCATAAGAAGCTCGATATTTATTGGAAAGGAGCATCAAGCTGGTTATAGTGATAGCAAGGGTGCAGTGATTTTTAACCAGAAGAAACCGCCTTTATAAATTGTACCTATTGCGAGACTCTAGGCTATAACAATGTGTATTTCTATGTCGCCCACACATTTTTACTCGCTGATAGAAGAGCTGTTGAGACACGCAGCAGGCCACTAGGACTACGGATGTTGATCCTTGCAGTGGCAGCAGGTGACACACCGTCCGCAAAGGACATTTGGGTCCTCCTAAGTACACTTTCTGACCACGTCTGTCTTCAGTACACATTCAGGATGACAAGCTTCAACAAAATGTCATTTATTATCAAAAAAATTCTCCCATAATTCTACAGTCACAGACCAGAACTGGAAACCATGACGATCAGCACAAACTCATTGGTACTAATGAAGACTATATTACAAGACGACTGATAGTCCAACCTGAAATCACAACACCTTCTCTCACGGACAGACTATGTAAATATATACTGAACAAAAATATAAACGCAACAAGATTTTACTAAATTACAGTTCATAGAAGGAAATCAGTCAAGTGAAATAAATTCATTAGGCCCTAATCTATGGATTTCACATGACTGGGCAGGGTGCAGCCATGGGTGGGCTAAGGCCCACCCAATCAGAATGAGTTGTTTCCCCACAAAGGGCTTTATTACAGACAGAAAAACTCCTCAGCCTCCCCCCACCAATGATCCCAAAGGTGAAGAAGCCAGATGTGGAGGTCCTGGGCTGGGGTGGTTACACGTGGTCTGCAGTTGGACATACTACCAAATCTCAAAAACAACATTGGAAGCAGCTTATGGTAGAGAAATTAACATTACATTCTCTGGCAATATCTCTGGTGGACATTCCTGCAGTCAGCATGCCAATTGCACGCTCCCTCAAAACTTGAGACATCAGTAGCATTGTGTTGTGGACAAAACGGTACATTTTAAAGTGGCCTTTTATTGTCCCCAGCACAAGGTGCACATGTGTAATTATCATGCTGTTTAATCAGCTTCTTGATAATCCATCTACCTGACAGGTGTGGTCTATCTTGGCAAAGGAGAAATGCTCACTAACAGGGATAAACAAATTTGTGCACAAAATTTGATACAAATAAGCTTTTTGTGCGTATGGAAAATATAAGTTTTTTTTTTATTTCAGCTCATGAAACCTGGGACCAACACTTTACATGTTGCGTTTATATTTTTGTTCAGTGTACATGGTACAGTCATCAATTATGCAAGACTTTAGTTCTGGGTTAACCGAGATGAATCCACAACCATTGTAGGTCAACTTTCAAAACATGAATACAGCTCAACCATAAAATTACAAAAAACACTTCATTTTTTGATAACACACAAGCTGTGTTCCAAGATGAAACAGTAGAAAAGTTGGTCATGAAGAAATATATAGGTTACATTCACACACGTCGTACATGAATCCAGACAAATTGTAACATTGATAAGAAAATTGGGCTATTTTAGGACTTAGAATTCTTCCTTCTTCCAACAACAGGGTGACAAACATTTACAATTATTTACACATCCAGACAGAAAACTGTCCCAAATGGCACCCTATGGGCCCTGGTCAAAAGTAGTGCACTACGTAGGGTATAGGGTGCCATTTAGAACGCAGAGGGTAGTCTTTTTACTCCAGGCAACAGCAGATAGACAGATTTAGAACTGCTGCAGGATCAATTTCTTCTTCATGTCGTGAGAGAACTTGTTGGATCGGAACGCCTCGCTGTCATAGAATGCTGACAGGTTGTGAATGCTGATCTGTCTGGCCTGGGGAAGGAGAGAACAGAATAATTCAACTATACTGAACAAAAATAAAAAAAACAAAATGCACCAATTTCCAAGATTTTACTGAGTTACTGTTCATATGAGGAAATCAGTCAATTGAAATAAATTCATTTGGCCCTAATCTATGGATTTCACATGACTGGGAATACAGATATGCATATGTTGGTCACAGATTAACCACCCCCCCCCCAAAAAAAGGGCCTCAATGGGTGTCAGGATCTCGTCACGATATTTCTTTGCATTGAAATTGCCATTGATAAAATGCAATTGTGCTCGTTGTGCATAGCTTACGCCTGCCAGACCATAAACCCACCGCCACTGGGGCACTTGTTCACAGCAATCGCCACCAACTCGCTCCTGCAAGGCAAACTTAAAAGACCGGCATATGGTAGGAAGAATATATCCAAAGATTGGTGGACATCTGCACATGCCAATTGTCACTCCCAACTTGAGATATCTGTGGCATTGTGTTGTGTGACAAAACTGCACATTTTAGAGCGGCCTTTAGTCCCCAGCACAAGGTGCACCTGTGTAATGATTGTGCTGTTTAATCAGCTTCTTGATATGCCACACCTGTCAGGTGGATGGATTATCTTGGCAAATGAGAAATGCTAACAGGGATGTAAACACATTTGTGCACAAAATGAGAGAAATAAGCTTTTTGTGCGTATGGAACATTTCTAGGATCTTTTATTTCAGCTCATGAAACCAATACTTTACATGTTGTGTTTATATTTTTGATCAGCGTACAGTGCATTCGGAAAGTATTCAGACTCCTTCCCTTTTTCCACTTTGTTACGTTAGCCTTATTCTAAAATTGATTAATTGTATGATTTTTAAGTAATTAATTTGCATTTCATTGAATGACATAAGTATTTGATCACCTACCAACCAGTAAGAATTCCGGCTCTCACAGACCTGTTAGTTTTTCTTTAAGAAGCCCTACTGTTCTCCACTCATTACCTGTATTAACTGCACCTGTTTGAACTCGTTACCTGTATAAAAGACACCTGTCCACACACTCAATCAAACAGACTCCAACCTCTCCACAATGGCCAAGACCAGAGAGCTGTGTAAGGACATCAGGGATAAAATTGTAGAGCTGCACAAGGCTGGTATGGGCTACAGGACAATAGGCAAGCAGCTTGGTGAGACGGCAACAACTGTTGGCGCAATTATTAGAAAATGGAAGAAGTTCAAGATGACGGTCAATCACCCTCGGTCTGGGGCTCCATGCAAGATCTCACCTCGTGGGGCATCAATGATCATGAGGAAGGTGAGGGATCAGCCCAGAACTACACGGCAGGACCTGGTCAATGACCTGAAGAGAGCTGGGACCACAGTCTCAAAGAAAACCATTAGTAACACACTACGCGGTCATGGATTAAAATCCTGCAGCGCACGCAAGGTCCCCCTGCTCAAGCCAGCGCATGTTCAGGCCCGTCTGAAGTTTGCCAATTACCATCTGGATGATCCAGAGGAGGAATGGGAGAAGGTCATGTGGTCTGATGAGACAACAATAGAGCTTTTTGGTCTAAACTCCACTCGCCGTGTTTGGAGGAAGAAGAAGGATGAGTACAACCCCAAGAACACCATCCCAACCGTGAAGCATGGAGGTGGAAACATCATTCTTTGGGGATGCTTTTCTGCAAAGGGGACAGGACGACTGCACCATATTGAGGGGAGGATGGATGGGGCCATGTATCGCGAGATCTTGGCCAACAACCTCCTTCCCTCAGTAAGAGCATTGAAGATGGGTCGGGGCTGGGTCTTCCAGCATGACAACGACCCGAAACACACAGCCAGCGCAACTAAGGAGTGGCTCTGTAAGAAGCATCTCAAGGTCCTGGAGTGGCCTAGCCAGTCTCCAGACCTGAACCCAATAGAAAATCTTTGGAGGGAGCTGAAAGTCCGTATTGCCCAGCGACAGCCTCGAAACCTGAAGGATCTGGAGAAGGTCTGTATGGAGGAGTGGGCCAAAATCCCTGCTGCAGTGTGTGCAAACCTGGTCAAGACCTACAGGAAACGTATGATCTCTGTAATTGCAAACAAGGGTTTGTGTACCAAATATTAAGTTCTGCTTTTCTGATGTATCAAATACTTATGTCATGCAATAAAATGCAAATTAATTACTTAAAAATCATACAATGTGATTTTCTGGATTTTTGTTTTAGATTCCGTCTTTCACAGTTGAAGTGTACTATGATAAAAATTACAGACCTCTACATGCTTTGTAAGTAGGAAAACCTGCAAAATCGGCAGTGTATCAAATACTTGTTCTCCCCACTGTATATACACGGCTCAAAAAAATAAAGGGAACACTTAAACAACACAATGTAACTCCAAGTCAATCACACTTCTGTGAAATCAAACTGTCCACTTAGGAAGCAACACTGATTGACAATACATTTCACATGCTGTTGTGCAAATGGAATAGACAACAGGTGGAAATTATAGGCAATTAGCAGACTGTCCAGAAGTTGGCGGATGCTTTAGTCCAGGTCTGGGAGGAGATCTCTCAGGAGACCATCCACCACCTCATCAGGAGCATGCCCGGGCGTTGTAGGGAGGTCATACAGGCACGTGGAGGCCACACACACTACTGAGCCTCATTTTGACTTGTTTTAAGGACATTACATCAAAGTTGGATCAGCCTGTAGTGTGGTTTTCCACTTTAATTTTGAGGGTGACTCCAAATCCAGACCTCCATGGGTTGATAAATTTGATTTCCATTGATAATTTGTGTGATTTTGTTCTCAGCACATTCAACTATGTAAAGAAAAAAGTATTTAATAAGATTATTTCATTCAGATCTAGGATGTGTTATTTTAGTGTTCCCTTTATTTTTTTGAGCATTATATATATTATTTTTTTTTCTCTCATCAATCTACCCACAATACCCCATAATGACAAAGCGAAAACAGGTTTAGACATTTTTGCACATTAAAAATAAAACACTGAAATACCTTACTTACATAAGTATTCAGACCCTTTACTATGAGACTCGAAATTGAGCTCAGGTGCATCCTGTTTCCATTGATCATCCTTGAGATGTTTCTACAACTTGGAGTTAATGCAATTGATTGGACATGATTTGGAAAGGCACACACCTGTCTATATAAAGGTCCCTGAGTTGACAGTGCATGTCAGAGCAAAAACCAAGCCATGAGGTCGAAGGAATTGTATGTAGACCTCACAGACAGGATTGTGTCGAGGCACAGATCTGGGGAAGTGTACCAAAAAATGTCTGCAGCATTGAAGGTCCCCAAGAACACAGTGGCCTCCATCATTCTTAAATGGATGAAGTTTGGAACCACCAAGACCCTTCCTAGAGCTGGTCGCCCGGCCAAACTGAGCAATCGGGGGAGAAGGGCCTTGGTCATGGAGGTGACCAAGAACCCGATGGTCACTCTGACAGAGCTCCAGAGTTCCTCTGTGGAGATGGGAGAACCTTCCAGGACAACCATCTCTGCAGCACTCCAACAATCAGGCCTTTATGGTAGAGTGGCCAGACGGAAGTGACTCCTCAGTAAAAAGGCACATGACAGCCCACCTAAAGGACTCAGACCATGAGAAACAAGATTCTCTGGTCTGATGAAACCAAGATTGAACTCCTTGGCCTGAATGCCAAGCATCACGTCTGGAGGAAACCTGGCACCATCCCTACAGTGAAGCATGATGGTGGCAGAATCATGCTGTGGGGATGTTTTTCAGCAGCAGGGACTGGGAGACTAGTCAGGAACGAGGGAACGTCATACCCAAGAAGACTGAATACCTCATTTCTACCAGCATGTCACATGTGCAACCAGAGAGAAAAAATTAATAAAAAAATCTATGCCACCTTTACTCCACACACAGAGACTCATACAAAGCTCTCCCTCCATTTGGCAAATCTGAGCATAATTCTATCCTCCTGATTCCTGCTTACAAGCCAAAACTAAAAGCAGGAAGTACCAGTGACTCGCTCAATACGGAAGTGGTCAGATGACACGGATGCTATGCTACAGGACTGTTTTGTTAGCACAGACTGGAATATGTTCCGGGATTCATTCAATGGCATTGAAGAGTATACCACCTCAGTCAACGGCTTCATCAATAAGTGCATTGACGACGTCGCCCCCACAGTGACTGTACGTACATATCCCAACCAGAAACCATGGATTACAGGCAACATCCGCATCGAGCTAAAGGCTAGAGCAGCCGCTTTCAAGGAGCGGGACACTAATCCGGACGCTTATAAGAAATCCCGCTACGCCCTCAGACTAACCATCAAACAGGCAAAGCGTCAATACAGGATTAAGATCAAATACTACTAAACCGGCTCTGACACTCTTCGGATGTGGCAGGGCTTGGAAACTATTACGGACGACAAAGGGAAACCCAGCCGCGAGCTGCCCAGTGACGTGAGCCAACCAGACGAGCTAAATGCCTTTCATGCTCGCTTCGAGGCAAGCAACACTGAAGCATGCATGAGGGCACCAGATGTCCCGGACGACTGTGTGATCACGCTCTCTGTAGCCGATGTGAGCAAGACCTTTAAACAGGTCAACATTCACAAAGCCGCGGGGCCAGATGGATTACCAGGATGTGTACTCAAAGCATGTGCGGACCAAACTGGCAAGTGTCTTCACTGACATTTTCAACCTCTCCCTGACCGAGTCTGTAATACCTACATGTTTCAAGCAGACCACCATAGCCCCTGTGCCCAAGGAAGCGAAGGTAACCTTCCTAAATGATTACTGCCCCTAGCACTCACGTCGGTATCCATGAAGTGCTTTGAAAAGGCTGGCCATGGCTCACATAAACACCATCATCCCGGAAACCCTAGACCCACTCCAATTCGCATACCGCCCCAACAGATACACAGATGACGCAATCTCAAATCGCACTCCACACTGCCCTTTCCCACCTGGACAAAAGGAACACCTATGTGAGAATGCTGTTCAATGACTACAGCTCAGCGTTCAACACCATAGTGCCCTCAAAGCTAAGGACCCTGGGACTAAACACCTCCCTCTGAAACTGGATCCTGGACTTCCTGACGGGCCACCCCCAGGTGGTAAGGGTAGGCAACAACAGGCTGTAGTGGAACAGGTTGAGAGCTTCAAGTTCCTTGGTGTCCACATCACCAACAAACTATCATGGTCCAAACATACCAAGACAGTCGTGAAGAGGGCACGACAACACCTTTTCCCCCCTCAGGAGACTGAAAGGATATGGCATGGGTCCTCAGATCCTCAAAACGTTCTACAGCTGCACTATTGAGAGGATCCTGACCGGTTGCATCCCCGCCTGGTATAGCACCTGCTCGGCATCTGACCGTAAGGCGCTACAGAGGGTAACGCGTACGGCCCAGTACAACACTGGGGCAAAGCTTCCTGCCATCCCGGACCTATATACTAGGCGGTGTCAGGAAGGCCCAGAAATGTTTTTGTCAAATACTCCAGGTCATCCAAGTCATAGACTGTTCTCTCTGCTACCGCACAGCAAGCGGTACCGGAGCGCCAAGTCTAGGACCAAAAGGCTCCTTAACAGCTTCTACCCCCAAGCCATAAGACTGCTGAACAATTAATCAAATGGCCACCCGGACTATTTACATTGAGCCCCCCTCCATTTGTTTTTACACTGCTGCTACTCGCTGTTTATTATCTATGCAGTCACTTTACCCCTACCTACAAATTACCTCGACTAACCTGTACCGCCGCACATTGACTCGGTACCCTGTGTATATAGCCTCGTATTTGTTATTTTATTGTGTTACTTTTGATTTACTTTAGTCTATTTAGATAATATTCTCTCTATTTCTTGAACGGCATTGTTGGTTACGGGCTTGTAAGTAAGCATTTCACAGTAAGGTCTACCTGTTGTATTTCGGCGCATGTGACAAATACAATTTGATTTAATTTGAGGCTGAAATCGCCGCCAAAGGTGCTTCAACAAAGTACTGAGTAAAGGGTATGAATACCTTAGTAAATGTGATATTTCCAGGTTTATTATACATTTGCGAAATTAAAAAAAAAAAAAAAAAAAACTGTTTTAGCCTTGTCATTCTGGGGTACATTGTGTATAGATTGATGAGGGGAAAACAATGTAATCCTTTTTAGAACAAGGCTGTAACGTAACAAAATGTGGAAAAAGTCAAGGGGTCTGAATACCTTCAGAATGCACTGTACATGGGGGAAACTATTGAACTTCACAAAAGGTCCCAAATTATTTTTAATGCACTCAAGACATAGAATGTTGCATTTATATTTTTGTTCATTGTATATTTTACATTTACATTTTTTGTCATTTAGCAGACGCTCTTATCCAGAGCGACTTACAGGAGCAATTAGGGTTAAGTGCCTTGCTCAAGGGCACATCGACAGATTTTTCACCTAGTCAGCTCGGGGATTAGAACCAGCGACCTTTCGGTTACTGGCACAACGCTCTTAACCACTAAGCTACCTGCCGAAACATGATTATTCCCCAAGGGGAAGAACAGAAATAGAAAACAACTTCACACGATTGAGATTATGCCAACAGTTAGCATCTCGCTAGAGTGCAGATGAGGGAAAACCATCTCAGATTGAGATTATGCCAACGGTTAGCATCTCGCTAGAGTGCAGATGAGGGAAAACCATCTCAGATTGAGATTATGCCAACGGTTAGCATCTCGCTAGAGTGCAGATGAGGGAAAACCATCTCAGATTGAGATTATGCCAACGGTTAGCATCTCGCTAGAGTGCAGACGAGGGAAAACCATCTCAGATTGAGATTATGCCAACGGTTAGCATCTCGCTAGAGTGCAGATGAGGGAAAACCATCTCAGATTATTGAGATTGCACCATGGTTACCAGCTTGGTATAGTACATTAGAGGAAATTAAAAGGAAGACACCATTCATTGAGACACCACCATCATGACTAGCAGCTCATCATTACCTTGTCCACCAGGTCTTTCTCTGGGATCTCGATGGTGTCCTGCTGGGCTCCATATCGGTTCCTCTGATACGCCACCTGCTCTGACACCAGCTGCTTCAGGATGAACAGCAGCAACTCATTGTTGTCTTTTCTGAACGCCAGGTAACGGGCAAACGTCTAGAGAGAAGAGGAACCGAGGGATAAATGAGTTTCAGAATAAAAAGCAGCAGCTTGTCGTCTCGTCTGAACGCCAGGTAACGTCTAGAGGACCAGGAATCAGTGTTTCAGACATACTGTATTCACCTTGTTCTGACAGACAGTCCAATCCTAATTTAGTAATAGTGTATGACCACTAAGGGGAGACAAATCTATGTTGGGCTTTTTCACTCCTGCACAATCTTACCCTTTACAGAACTGTGTTTTCATCCATGCAAATGAACTAGAACACATATGACCCCTTTCCCATTGCAAAACGTTTTGCTACAGTTTGCTCTAGCGAACATCCCCGCCCACCTTCCGCATGCTCCTCATGACGCTGAACTTCTGCGTGTCGATGAAGCTCTCCAGCATGACTCTGATGGCCATGTTGACGTCATCCTCCACCACGTAGTCTCGGAGGTGCATCCTGGCGTGGGCCTCCGCCATGCGGATCATAGACTCGATGTGACGCACCGTGATGGGGATGCTGCCTGTCGCCTACACAGACACAACACATGAAGCTATTGAATCAATATTGACAGTACACAGTTTGGATATATGATGGGTCACGACGCCCCTCAAGCATTATACACACACGAAATCGACCCATGCCAGCTATGGACTTGCATTAGCTCCCCAGGCATTAGCTCAGCTAGCTTACAGTCTTATTGGAAGAGGGTTCGAATCACCGGTTGTAACACTCACCATGGACTCTTTGCGTAGGTCGCTGTAGATGCGAGCCACCTTATCCTGGTCCATCTGGTTGAGTTTGGGCCGGACCCTTTCCTTGGAGTACATGATGTATTTCCTCAGCAGCTCCTGGGGGATAGGAGGCACGTCTGTGGTGTTGGGCAGAACCACCTCCTCCAAGCCAGCCATGCCACCCTCCTTGTTGCTGGGATGGTGCTTGATGTGGCTGCCCACCACGAAACGAGCCAGCATCTCATCCTATAATGGTGGACAAAGACAAGTGCCTATTCATTCAGCCAACTAACAAAACATCCGGTCATGTCATTACAGGGATGAGGTAACAAACGTGAACAATTTGAATAATAGAAATCTGAGAAGTTGGCCAATAGTCTTTACCTGCACTGGGTCCACAGTATCTCTGACCACACACAGGACGTCAAAACGAGACACGATGGGCTCAGTCAGATCCACGTTCTCAGAGAAGGTCAGAGACGGGTCGTAGCGACCACCAATAGGGTTGGCAGCAGCGATGATAGTGCAGCGTGCCTGGAGCGAGGTGACGATGCCAGCCTTGGAGATGGAGATGCTCTGCTGTTCCATGGCCTCGTGGATACTGGTCCTGTCTGCGTCGTTCATCTGGAGAGGAGAGACATGTTGAGCACTGCAGTCCACAGGAGTGTCATGGCCAGGAAACACTCTAGACTTCTTATTCCATGTTATTGTTAGGAGCTTTTCCCTGACATGACCTGACCAGAAAATACTCCTGGCCCTGCACAAGGCACTGACATTTTTAAAAAACAAATTCTTTACTTTGAATGTTGCTGGGAATATACTATACTTAAGTCTCCCTAGTCTAACCCACATCCTCAAACCCTTTCCCCCACACCTTCACAAGCCCTTCCCCCACACCTTCACAAAGTCGATGACACAGACCCCTCTGTCCGCTAACACCAGGGCTCCAGCCTCCACTCCCTTAGTCTAACTAACCCAAATCCCTTTCTCCCTCTCACCTTATCAAACTCGTCGATGAGACAGACCCCTCTGTCCGCTAACACCAGGGCCCCAGCCTCCAGGGTCCACTCCCTGGTGACCGGGTGTCTCTGTACGTAGGCGGTCAGGCCCACAGCGGAAGCTCCCTGGCCTGTGGTGAACACCGCTCTGCTGGCCACCTTCTCCACGTACTTCAGGAACTGGGACTTGGCCGTACCAGGGTCACCGCACAGGAGCACGTTGAGGTCACCACGCACCTTGTGCTTCCCACCTGGAGAAGAGAGGGTAAGGTAAGAAGGATAGAGGATATATCATAACCGAGGATTGAGTAGCCAACCAGGGTGGCCCTCATCCAAGACAGCTACTGGAAATGCAGGTTTTTGCTCCAGCCCTGATCAAAACAACCAACTCTGTTTGAAGGAAGGTTGTTCTCCAGAAGGAAGGCTGGCTACCGCTGATGTTGAATGGTCCACCAACCTGGGTTCTTGGGCTCTCCACCAAACAGAGCCAGAGCCAAGCCTCTCTTGATGTCTTCATGGCCGTAGATGGAGGGGCCTATACTGGCAAAGATCTGCAGAGACAGGAGACAGAGCGGGGGTTGAATAGGGTATACCAGTAGGCATGATATGACGAAAGAAAACACGACCAGAAAGGAGTTACTAAAAGCCCATCTATCTACGGATATTGACAATTAACATTTGCTATATACACTGACCAGGTGAAAGCTATGATCCCTTTGATGTAATCTGTTAAATCCACTTCAATCAGTGTAGATGAAGGGGAGGAGATGGGTTAAAGAAGGATTTTTAAGTCTTGAGACAATTGAGACATGGATTGAGTATGTGTGCCATTCAGACTGTGAATGGGCAAGACAAAATATTTAAGTGCCTTTGAACGGGGTATGGTAGTAGGTGCCAGGCGCACCGGTTTGTGACAAGAACTGCAACACTGCAGGGGTTTTCACGCTCAACAGTTTCCCGTGTGTATCAAGAATGGTCCCCCACCCAAAGGACATCCAGCCAACTTCACACAACTGTGGGAAGCATTGGAGTCAACATGGGCCAGCATCCCTGTGGAACGCTTTCACGCACCTTGTAGAGTCCATGGCCCCGATAAACTGAGGCTGTTCAGACGGCAAAAGGAGGGGGGTGCAATTTAAATATTAGGAAGGTGTTCCTAATGTTTTGTGCACTCACTGTATATTGTGCTGCAAGCCATTAATAATGGTTTCCACAGTATGTCAATGGCCTTGTATCTGTTGCTATTAAATAAACCATACATAAATAAGAGGGAAGACTTGTGACTACAGGGTCCTCCTTGTTAAGTTTCATGTATCCCTATATTTCTGTTATTATGGTGTAGGAGTCTCACTGTAGACGGACCTGGCCTGAGTGTGATGGGGACTAGGTACTGTGGTAATACGGTGAGGTAAACGTTAAACTGGAACCTAGTCGTTGTGTCATTTTGAGTTAACACTCCTAACTCAGCCTGTCTCTGTTGGGCTCGTGGTCTGACATCGTCCCAGCAGAGTCCCTCCTAACTCAGCCTGTCTCTGTTGGGCTCGTGGTCTGACATCGTCCCAGCAGAGTCCCTCCTAACTCAGCCTGTCTCAAATGGGCTCGTGGTCTGACATCGCCCCAGCAGAGTCCCTCCTAACTCAGCCTGTCTCTGTTGGGCTCGTGGTCTGACATCGTCCCAGCAGAGTCCCTCCTAACTCAGCCTGTCTCAGATGGGCTTGTGGTCTGACATCGTCCCAGCAGAGTCCCTCCTAACTCAGCCTGTCTCTGTTGGGCTCGTGGTCTGACATCGTCCCAGCAGAGTCCCTCCTAACTCAGCCTGTCTCTGTTGGGCTCGTGGTCTGACATCGTCCCAGCAGAGTCCCTCCTAACTCAGCCTCTCTCTGTTGGGCTCGTGGTCTGACATCGTCCCAGCAGAGTCCCTCCTAACTCAGCCTGTCTCTGTTGGGCTCGTGGTCTGACATCGTCCCAGCAGAGTCCCTCCTAACTCAGCCTCTCTCTGTTGGGCTCGTGGTCTGACATCGTCCCAGCAGAGTCCCTCCTAACTCAGCCTCTCTCTGTTGGGCTCGTGGTCTGACATCGTCCCAGCAGAGTCCCTCCTAACTCAGCCTGTCTCTGTTGGGCTTGTGGTCTGACATCGTCCCAGCAGAGTCCCTCCTAACTCAGCCTGTCTCTGTTGGGCTCGTGGTCTGACATCGTCCCAGCAGAGTCCCTCCTAACTCAGCCTGTCTCTGTTGGGCTCGTGGTCTGACATCGTCCCAGCAGAGTCCCTCCTAACTCAGCCTGTCTCTGTTGGGCTCGTGGTCTGACATCGTCCCAGCAGAGTCCCTCCTAACTCAGCCCGTCTCTGTTGGGCTCGTGGTCTGACATCGTCCCAGCAGAGTCCCTCCTAACTCAGCCCGTCTCTGTTGGGCTCGTGGTCTGACATCGTCCCAGCAGAGTCCCTCCTAACTCAGCCCGTCTCTGTTGGGCTCGTGGTCTGACATCGTCCCAGCAGAGTCCCTCCTAACTCAGCCTGTCTCAGATGTGCTCACGTTCTGACATTTTACCAGTAGGTGCTACTAACTTACCCTCTCTCCGATGCGCTCGTCCTTGGACAGCGCCACGATGGCCTTGATGTCCTCGTCAGTGAGCTCAGCCACGGCCACTTTGTTGTCTCTACAAGCGATATGATTGGCCATGATGACCGTAGCGAATACTGGGAAGCCGTTGGCCATGTTCAGAGAACCGTCATAGTTGTTGTTGTAGATCCCTGTCAGTTCCTGGAGGAAAATAGTTATTTATTACCTTCATTTAACCAGTCAACATTGTGACATTGTCTTTTACAATAATATGATCTAGAATGTTAACTGGGATAAGAAAACAAAACAAGTTAAAAAACACGGATGTTCAGAACGGGCTACTAAAATCATACTTGATGCAATGACATTTGTCTTTCGTCTCCCAACCCTGTACATCACACTAGCAGATAATGTTACAGTGCCCTACAGTGTTTAGAATTAGAGAGGTCAGTTCTGTTAGGAGTCAGACTCACTATTTCGTCTCCAGGTTTGCATTGGTCCACCAGGTCAGCCAACAGGATGGCATCTTTGGAGCGTGGGAGGCGGCCAGCGGCGATCTTCCCGGGGCTCTCCTGGATGGTGATTCGCTGGTAGTTCTGGTACACAGTCTGACAAAAAAAAAAAAAAAAAAAAAAAAAATCGGTCTTATTTATTTTTTTCCAATGCCTAGTCTTCATCTGTTAGCCAGCCCCTCACTCAGCCTTCACACACTGGTGAAGAATTAGCCCTGAGATTAGTGAGCCCAACTGTCGATCTCGGACCTTCAAAATATCCTCTTGGTCTAATGGTTAAGACGTTGAGTTGGCAAGCGGGAGACCCAGGTTTGATTCCCAACATTTAACCATTTGGTCCCTGGACTGATTGGTCCAGTGAATCACCTCCATGTTGATGACTGAGGGACTGGCTTCACTTCCTGGTTCCAACCTTATTAGATGCTATTTTTATTGGTCTACTCATGTTTCTAACCCTTTTTAAGAGTATTTCTATTGGTCGACTGACTCACCAACTCCATATTAATGTCAAAGGGGCCGAAAGACTGGCACTCAGGGCAGGACCCTGGCTTCACTTCCTGGTTCTGGGACTGGAAGAAGGGCCCCATGATGAAGTTACACTTGTTACAGTTGTACTTGACCATGCCCAGCTGGGGTAGAACACCTGTACAGCAGGTCACCACTCCACTGGTACGGATCAACTGGTTCAGGTGGAGTTGTCTGGAGACAAGAACAGGAAAATACAGGAACATGTATTGGAAAAAGAGGCAAAGCAATCATATTAGTCCTATAGAGAGAGTGATGCCTGTGTGCATGGGAGTTCCCTTCACTCTACTGCTCCATCCCTGTTACAACTGTAGGACATTAGCCTCTCGCCCTGCTGTTGTTGCAAAAGTTGGCCAGATCTACTAAAATGTGTATCGCCGAGTCTACTTTTAAAATCATGGAAGACATGTGATCATCATTTCCTGTCAGTATTTACCTGAGGGATCTCAGCTCCTCGACCAGGGGCAGGTTGCAGATCCTGACGTGGATCTCGTGGGCGATGCGGTCGTATTTGGGGTACATGGTCAGGACCACCTCCTTGGCTGCCTCGTCAAATATCTTCAGCATCTCAGTAGGCGCCTCAGGCAGGAAGTAGGCCAGGACATGCTCCCTGGCTGCTAGGTCCTCGTAGTTCACCACCAGACTCTCCTTTGTTCTCTGGATGGGGTTGGTTCAAATACATCAGTAATGTAGTCTTCAAGACTGTGAACCTTTAGACATAGTCAAGGTCAACCCATTTCAAGATTCAGTTAAGAGTAAAGCCAGGTGCAGAATCCCTAATGTAGTAGTTATCTTATCGTTTGTTCTCCAACCTCTTTTTAAATAGTGAGCCAACGTGTTTTCAGCACTTCCCGGACTGATCAAAACTAGTTCTCATGGCTCTCTCGTCTCTCTGCAGCAGATGTATAGTGAGCAATGTTAGGAATATCAAACCGCAATATCGATTCGCAATACATATCGTATCAGCACCTACGTATTGTGATATCGTATCGTGAGGTCCCTGGCAATTCCCAGCCCTACTATAGATGCAAGGTGATTTGTAAATTTTCAGTGATTCTCTGCAGTCCGACTCAATCTCAATCATGTGACTTCAGAACAGACCTAACAACAAAGTGCCATATGCATGATCTTCAAATACACTACGACCAAAAGTATGTGGACGCCTGCTCGTCGAACATCTCATTCCGAAATCATTGGCATTAATATGGACTTGGTCCCCCCCTTTACTGCTATAAAAGCCTCCACTCTTCTGGGAAGGCTTTCCACTAGATGTTGGAACATTGCTTCCATTCAGCCACAAGAACATTAGTGAGGTCGGGCACTGATGTTGAGCGATTAGGCCTGGCTCGCAGTCGGCGTTCCAATTCATCCCAAAGGTTTTCGATGGGGTTGAGGTCAGGGCTCAGTGTAGGCCGGTCAAGTTCTTTCACACCCATCTCGACAAACCATTTTTGTATGGACCTCGCTTTGTGCACAGGGGCATTGTCATGCTGAAACAGGAAAGGGCCTTCCCCAAACTGTTGCCACAAAGTTGGAAGCACAGAATCTTCTAGAATGTTATTGTATTTCCCGTCACTGGAACTAAGGGGCCTAGCCCGAACCATAAAAAACAGACCAAGACCATTATTCCTCCTCCACCAAACTTTACAGTTGGCACTATGCATTGGGGCAGGTTGCGTTCTCCTGGAATCCGCCAAACCCAGATTTGTCTGTTGGACTGCCAGATGGTGAAGCGTGATTCATCACTCCAGAGAACGCGTTTCCACTGCTCCAGAGTCTAATGGCGGAGAGCTTTACACCACTCCAGCCATTGCCATTGCACATGGTGATCTTAGGCTTGTGTGCGGCTGCTTGTCCATGGAAACCCATTTCATGAAGCTCCCGACGAACCATTCTTGTGCCGACGTTGCCCCCAGAGGCAGTTTGGAACTCAGTAGTGAGTGTTGCAAGCAAGGACAGATGATTTTTACACGCTACGCGCTTCAGCACTCAACAGTTCCGTTCTGTGAGCTTGTGTGGACTACCACTTTGCGGCTGAGCCGTTGTTGCTCCTAGACGTTTCCACTTCACAATAACAGCACTTACAGATGACCGGGGGCAGCTCTAGCAGGGAAGAGATTTGACTAACTGACTTGTTGGAAAGGTGGCATCCTATGATGGTGCCACGTTGAAAGTCACTAAGCTCTTCAGTACGGCCCATTCTACTGCCATTGTTTGTCTATGGAGATTGCAGGGCTGTGTGCTCAATTTTATACACCGGTCAGCAACAGGTGTGACTGAAATAGCCCAATCCACTAATTTGAAGAGGTGTCCACATACTTTTGTATATATAGTGTACCTTTGCACATGTCGCTGATCTTCTCCTTGAAGACGTTGTGCCCGTTCTCATCTACGTGGGTGCGCAGGAAGTTCTTGAAGCGGTGGTAGATCTCCAGACGTGGCGCAGCCATGACCACCCACTCCCTGACAGAGTGGCCCTGCAAGCAATCCAGCCATCAATAGATCCATCCACCAATTAATCAATCCATCAACCAACCAATGAATTCATCCATCCATTGTTTGTATAGCACATGTTGTACAAGGTAAAAATACAATGCGCTTCACAGTTGAATAAATCAATAATATGAATAAATATTTGATTATTACCTTCATGTCCTCCAGGTTCTCGATGCTCTCGATCATCTCCTCGTCTTCTGCCCCAGTGCCCTCTGCAGCCCGCTCCGCCAGGCGACGCCTCCGGGCTGGGCGCTCTTCATCCTCATCCTCACTGTCTGTTAGGAGGAAGAGGAAGGTGATGAGGAGGTGGAGAGTTGAAAGGTGATGAGGAGTTTCTTAAGCTGACCATTGAGTGTCGTTTCAATCCCCCAGTCTAAGATTAGAACAACTAATCTTATGGTCAGAAAATATATAACAGACTATGAAAAAGAGAAGTCCTCACCATACAGCAGTCCTCTCCTCAGCCTGCCTCCCTGCTCCCTGTCTCTCCTCCTCATGGCGTCCTCGGCAGCAGCCCTGGCTCCAGGAGAAAGCTCTGACAGCTCCTCATCAAGATCCAGACCCTCCACCTCATACCTGTCCAGCTCAGGGATGGCTCGATAGTCTCTGCATGGGAAGAGGGAGAACGTATAAGCAAATATGATTGTATAAACCTATACAATTTGTGGTATAAGTCCTTAGTAAACATGCTATAACATAGTTATAACCTGAAAACACTACATGTAAAGCACTATAGTATAAGACTACAGGGACTGAACACCTCCTGCGCTCCTCTCCCTTGCTCACCTCTCCATTGCATCTCCAATCAGTTCCTCCCCGTCTCCCTCCTCCTCCTCCCCCAGGCAGAGGTCCTTCACCCAGGAGCCCCTCCGACTCATCCTCGAAGGGGGGAAGGTCTCTCCCAGGGCTGGAGGTCAGGTCCCCCCGCCTGGAGCCTCTGCTGGGGCTGGTTGCCATGTGATATGACTCAGATGAATCCTGACAACGGAAAAAATAACCGTCAGTCAAATCAGATGTATTTTGCATGTTACATTTGCATTTGATATATTCTAGAGTCCATCTATTGTCTTAACACATATAGTTTAGTGCTAGATAGCTTGCTAGCTAAGACTAATATGCCTATTCCTTAAACATGGTTAACAAAGGCTCAAACTGTGGTAAACAGAGTTTACTAGCCGGCTAGCTAACGTTAACTACGTAAGTCATTTATTGATACATTAACATTTTAGTCATTTAGCAGACGTTTTTATCCAGAGCGATTTATAGGAGCAATTAGGGTTAAGTGCCTTGCCCAAGGGCACACGTCAGATTTTTCACCTAGTCGGCTCCGGGATTCGAACCAGCGATATTTCGGTTACTGGCCCAACGCTCTTAGCAGCCAACTTTCATAGTGACAATGGGGTGCCAATGACATGCAAATATGTGCCTAACTATGATGGCTGACAAACTGGCAATCTCTAGCTAGCTAACAATAGAACCCATGCAGATCAAATGTTTTGCGTAACTTAGTTAGCCAACTACATGGCGAGGAACACTTAGTTACCTATATAATATAAACGATTAACTACATATTTTAGATCAGTTTGATGTCTAACTAGCTAGCGAACTAATGAACATTAATCAAATTATGGATGTAATGTTAACCAGCACATGATTTGTCTGTCCCAGATAACGTGGGTCGATTCCTGACACTTTCTTTCTCAACTTTGACTGGCGAACAAAAGACATCACGATCAACAGAAATTCTCGGCTAATTTATCAAGGAACATACACAACTATTCAATTCAATGGGCTTTATTGGCATGGGAAACATAGGTTTACATTGCCAAAGCAAGTGAAATAGATAAACGTGAAATAAACAATCAAAAACAACAATCACCTATCTGTCAAATAAGAAATATGTTGAAACATCATATGTGAATATATTGTTGATTTTGACAATAATCACTCACCGCCATTATTTCGTGCTTGCTTCTCTATTGCTTCCACGCAAATGTTTTTTTACATTTGTTTTACCACACTTACTTTTCGCGCGAAATCATCACGTGATATAGAAAGCGCGCGAAATGTCATGAATATGTAATATTAGAACCAAAGAGCAGCATTATGATTGGTCGGAGTACTCTGTGAAAGGCCAATCTAATGTAATGCCGGATGTACCTTTGGATACACTCGATTTGTTTCACCCAGCAAGCCGGGTAACTGATTTTCAGTTGTTTTACTGAAGACGTGAGAAATAGAATTGTGCCGTGTTCTCACATATTGACCATATTTTCTTTATGAAATACACATGATATATTACGCTAATTTTTACTGGAATGAGAAATTATTTTTGCAACAATGTATAGAACAATCTACATTAAAAACATGACTAAATATTTGACAATGTATAATAGATAGTACTCTAATTCAAATATTTTACAATGTATTACATTTGATTTTCATATAGATACAGCACTCTAATTATTTTTATTTTAAGTAATTGATTTCACATCAGTGCATGGTTCATTTTGCCTGTAGTAAAAACATGAACAGCAATCACAATATTAATTTGTAATCATTTCATTGTAAATCAAGATGGACCTTGTAAGATTAATATCACTCTCTTACAGTACATAACATTAGTTAAACACCTCTAAAGAGGATATACAGTGCAGGAACAGTGACAGCAAGTGCACCGTATGCCAGAACAGTGTTGTACATGGTAGTCTGGCCTATTGAGGCTTCAAGTCTTTTCTCCGTCTGGTCAAGACCTTGCATAACGCTCTTAGTGTCGCAAACAAACATCTGTGAATCTTGCTGACTTATAACTACTGACTGCTTTTCTTCCCTATGATAAGTCTCAATCAAATTTTGAACAGCCAGAAGTTCCGATTCCACCTTCCCAACACTCTGTTCAAGCTGTCCTAGCTGTGGCTGGATGCCTTCTAGAAGACTCTGTGCTTTCTGACTATAGAGCAATATCTCTTTCAGAACTGTCTCGGAGGCACTCGGAGAAGGCTGGTGTGGAGGTGGAACCACGATGTGTTCTGGAACCGGAACAGGAGCAGCCACTGGCTTCTTCACATCCTCCTTCTCAGCCACCACCTGAGCTGCTCTATGCTGAAGTGTCACCCTCAGGGTGTCTATAAGGCCTCTCAGCTCCTGTTGTTGTGTCTTATGCATACCGGCCTGGACTTTTATAGCCTCCTGTAGACTAACAGGTCCTTTCTGAGCCTCCAGTAGCAAGGTCTTCAGCTCCTGTAGGCGTACTCTGTTGATATAGGTTGACCCCATGACCCCTATCAAAGCTCCGAGCACTGAGCCTATCACGGACCAGTTCTTTGTGCGCTCCGCCCGAGTCCGCTCTTTTTCGTGGCTCGCACGCACACCAGCTGAGAATAAGGCAAACTTCTCTCGTTCTGCACTCTCTGCGTTCTCGTAGGCTGTCCGCAGGCGACGCTCCTCCTACAAAAATGGTAAAAATGTTTTATTTTCTTTATAAAAACGTGTACAACAAGTGCATAACTAAAGTCCCCCAGTGTGAGTCTCTTCAACTCAAGCACAACAAAACTGCTTTGCAGCTGAGACTGTGTGTGTGTGTGTTTTCATGGGATTGGGCAATGTGACAGCAAAAAGATACATTCCTATTCAACAATCGATCGTAAATCTGATTATGTCTCTTGACAGTATTACCTGCAGCAGCTTGTGCTCCAGCGTGGCCAGCTCCAGGTAGTGGGCCTCCTCTCGTGAGACCCGATCCAGTCGGTCTCTCACCTCCTTCAGCCTAACCTGTAGGGCCTCCAGGCTGCCATGGGCCTCACGCACCATCCCTCTGGCCACCATGAAGGCCCTCTCTGCCTAAATATACAGATGATTAGAAGTTTAGGGAAAGTATATGATCTGACCAGGAAAACCTCTGAGGCCTTAAGTTATAAGCTATGGGTCTTGAGCTGTTCAGATTACAAGTTTAGGAAACTGTGATGAATAGAGATGGGAGTTTTTCCTGACCACCTGACCTGAGCAGGAAGAACTCTGGGCACTAGTTATAGGCCTCCAGACATAACCTATAGAGAGGACCCAGAGTTTTTCCCCTTGTTAGGTATGTGGTCAGGAAAAACTAAGACTCAAGTGACACAACCTCCAGTTTCATATGCCTGACTTGCCTTCTATACTGACTTACCTCTGTGACTTGAGACTGAGCATCTCTGACTTCATTCAGGCCGACAAACTCCTCGTACCTCTCCCACCAGTAGTTAACTGTGTTTGAGGCAGTGGTCATAGACTTCTGCCCCCACTGTGACGCTGTGCTCACAGATTTCTGTCCCCACTGCTTCCCCAAGTCAGTCAGATTCTGTATTGTAGCCACGGCACGCTCTTGAATAGGAACAACAGGTTTGTCTGCTATGTCATCTTTTGGACGTGATGGCGGATGTTGTTGTGTGCTGTAGGTCCTGCTGAAATACACTGTCCCTCTAACCGTTCCAGTGATGTTGAAACGGTAGAGACATGATGTTCCATGGCACCATGGTATGAGCTGTTTACCTCTGTACCTCATTGACAAGTCAGTGGTTTATATTCACTATGCTGCTAAAGCACAAGACATTGGAGCTGCCACCTGTAAAAAAAACAAAAACAGTACAGTCAAAGCCTGTATCAAAGTACATCGGCTGTTGAGGTTGGTATCAATTAATGTTTATCAATGTTTTATATTGTTTCGACATAGCTATAAAAAAAATGATATAATAACTGTAGCACAGTTCAGTTCGCTAGATCTTCCAAAACGCCACTGTCTTGGTTACTGTACTTTGTATCCCTCAGGCATTTCCTGTATCCTTGTATCACCCCTGCTTCGGATATGCTGACCTATCTGGAGGATAATATCTACATTTCTGCAACACTGCAGAAGCTCGGTTGACCTCTACAATGCTGATGTTTATGCAATTCATTGAAAATCTATGGCCATTTTGAATGTCATCCATGACGCAGTGGCTGAGACTCCCAATGAATTACCATTGATAGCGGCCTAGCTAGCTAGCTACCTAGCTAGCTAGCGATGGCTTGTTAGCATAACTATCTAGCTAGCTAGCAGCTGACAGTTTTCAAACTTGCTTTAGGCAACCCAAGGCTAAATACACATCATGTTCTAGTCCTGGCTATTGATCTCTGATTTGTTTTTGTACCCAATAAGTATAATCACGTACCGGTTGTCTTCAAGTATTAAGCAAATTATCAGCTGGCTACAGAACGTACATAGCAATTCTATCATACATTTCTTATGATCAGGCACATCACAGACATCCTGCATCCGGTTTAGAGTGGAAGTAAGGTCCTAACAGCGCCAATTAGAAACAAAGATTGTCTAATATATTGACAAGATAGTCAAGTGACCACTAACGATTAAAATACACTTTCTCAAATACGTAAGCAAAGATTATGGATATACTGACAAGATACACGTCTCTCTGCCCTAACAGTGGGAATCGTTGTCCACAAAGCGGCACTGCAGGCAGTGTAGCTTCCCGTCTACCCTTTCTTTGGATTAGTGGACACATCTCATTATTGTCATCTTATTTTTAACATTCGATGAGGGTTGTTGATGTCAACAGCCTGTATTCAATGGAGAGAGACGCTATATTATGAATATGCATAGCAATCTCGAGACAACTCCAATATAAAGTGTTTTTTCTCAAAGTTGCCGGAATGTCATGTGTCCTACTTTTGTCAGTACACTCATAACAACTTAAGCAGTACGAAACTTCTATTCGATCAAATAAACCACGCGTAGAAAATAAGCCATTCATTTTTTTGTTGACCAAATTCAACACTCTCATTGACCTCCACACGAAAACCCCTTGATTGGAGAGCGAAACAACGAAAAAACGCAGCCGAGTTGGGCGTCTCTTCCTCTTCTTTTCTGATGTAAAGTATGCGGGAAGAGACCAGATCAAGTGGGAACATTCTAGCCAATGAGAGGGTAGATACGCATGTGACCAACAGGCCATAGAGATAGATATAGCTAGGCCTCATCTTTGTATCTGTGCCATTATAGCATCTATGACAGCATGGGCAGCGTCATTGAGGCTATCTCCATTTTAAAATAGTCAATTTTATTTTTCTTCATTGGCAGATTGCTCCCAACTCAGGATTCCCAACCCAGTTAACTCCTTTAAAATGGTGGAAGCCCTCAATGGCTAATTACCATGCTAAAACAAGTTATATACATGATGAGTCATCTATCTGTCTCTATAACAACAGGCATAACTCTGATATAAAGTCATTTCTTTTTCAAAGTTGTTGAAATGCCACGTGAGTCCACCTATATCAGTGGATTCATAATAACCTAGCTAGCTATTAAGAAACGTATATTCGGTCAAATAAGCCTAACGTGGCAAATTAGCAATTACATTTCTTGTTCACCACATTTGACACAATGACCTCCATACAAACATTGCTCACTTCGTGGGTTTATTTACGTGACCTGAGAAGTGGGTGACGATCGCCGGACAGTGGGAGAAGCGGAGCTGGAGCTTGAATCTGATGTGGGAAAGGAAACGTCTAGTGTTTGTGGGAGCTCGTTTTATGGGAGGACTGGGGCCTGATCCGTGGACAGTATCCGAAAGATGAAGAAAGCCTTGGGAAAGTACAGTCGGTGAACATCACGAGGAGTGAGCTTGTATTGACTTTGTGCTGACCAGAAAAAGGTTGAGAGAATGCCAAGAGTGTGCAAAGCTGTCATCAAGGCAAAGGGTGGGTACTTTGAAGAATCTCAAATATAAAATATATTTTGATTTGTTTTACACTTTTTTGGTTACTACATGATTCCATATGTGTTATTTCATAGTTTTGATGTCTTCACTACTATTCTACAATGTAGAAAATTGTAAAAATAAAGAAAAACCCTTGAATGAGTAGATGTGTCCAAACCTTTGACTGGAACTGCATATATATATATATATATATATATATATATATATATATATATATATACACATACACACACATATACACATACAGTGCATTCGGAAAGTATTCAGACCCCTTGACTTTTTCCACTTTGTTACGTTGCAGCCTTATTCTAAAATTGATTAAATTCCCCCCCCCCCCAATCTACACACAATACCCCATAATGACAAAGCAAGCAAAAATAGATTTTCATGAATTTTTGCAAATAAAACACTGAAATATGACATTTACATAAGTATTCAGACCCTTTACTCAGTACTTTATTGAAGCACCTTTGGCAGTGATTACAGCCTCGAGTCTTCTTGGGTATGATGCTACAAACTTGGCACACCTGTATTTGGGGAGTTTCTCCCATTCTTCTCTGCAGATCCTCTCAAGCTCTGTCAGGTTGGATGGGGAGTGTTGCTTCACAGCTATTTTCAGGTCTTTCCAGGGATGTTCGATCGGGTTCAAGTCTGGGCTCTGGATGGGCCACTCAAGGACATTCAGAAACGTGTCCCGAAGCCACTCCTGCATTGTCTTGGCTGTGTGCTTAGGGTCGCTCTGGAGCAGGTTTTCAGCAAGGATCTCTGTACTTTTCTCAGTTCATCTTTCCCTCGTTCCTGACTAGTCTCCCAGTCCCTGCCGGTGAAAAACATCCCCACAGCATGATTCTGCCACCACCATGCTTCACCGTAGGGATGGTGCCAGGTTTCCTCCAGACATGACGATTGGCATTCAGGCCAAAGAGTTCCATCTTGGATTCATCAGACCAGGGAATCTTGTTTCTCATGGTTTGAGAGTCCTTTAGGTGGCTTTTGGCAAACTCCAAGCGGGCTGTCATGTGCCTTTTAATGAGGAGTGGCTTCCGTCTGGCCACTCTACCATAAAGGCCTGATTGGTGGAGTGCTGCAGAGATGGTTGTCCTTCTGGAAGGTTCTCCCATCTCCACAGAGGAACTTTGGAGCTCTGTCAGAGTGACCATCGGGTTCTTGGTCACCTCCCTGACCAAGGCCCTTCTCCCCCGATTGCTCAATTTGGCTGGGTGGTCAGCTCTAGGAAGTCTTGGTGGTTCCAAACTTCTTCCATTTAAGTATGATGGAGGCCACTGTGTTCATGGGGACCTTCAATGCTGCTGCAGAAATTTTTTGGTACCCTTCCCCAGATCTGTGCCTTGACACAATCGTGTTTCGGAGCTCTACGGACAATTCCTTCGACCTTGGTTTTTGCTCTGACATGCACTGTCAACTGTGGGACCTTACATAGACAGGTTTGTGCCTTTCCAAATCATGTCCAATCAATTGAATTTACCACAGGTGGACTCCAATCAAGTTGTAGAAACATCTCAAGGATGATCAATGGAAACAGGATGCACCTGAGCTCAATTTCGAGTCTCATAGCAAAGGGTCTGAAAACGTATGTAAATAAGGTATTTCTGTTTTTATTTTTAATAATTTGTAAATATATTATAAAAACCTGTTTTCGCTTTGTCATTATGGGGTATTGTGTGTAGATTGATGAGGATTTTTTATTTATTTAATCAATTTTAGAATAAGACTAACCTAACAAAATGTGGAAAAAGTCAAGAGGTCTGAATACTTTCCGAATGCACTGTATATATAGATCTCTCTGCTCTCTCTCTCTCACTCTCACTCTCACTCTCACTCTCTATCTATCTATCTATCTATCTATCTATCTATCTATCTATCTATCTATCTATCTATCTATCTATCTATCTATCTATCTATCTATCTATCTATCTATCTATCTATCTATCTATCTATCTATCTCACAGAAGGTTGGTGGCACCTTAATTGGGGAGAACGGGCTTGTGATAAAGTCTGGAGCAGAATTAGTGGAATACTATCAAATACATCCACATCCACCATTCCATTTACTCCGTTCCAGCCATCATTATGAGCCGTTCTCCCCTCAGCAGCCTCCACTGATATAGATATATATATACTGAACAAAAATAGCATAATCATTACACAGGTGCAACTTGTGCTGGGGACAATAAAAGGCCACTTTAAAATGTGAAGTTTTGTCTGGGCCTGGCTCCCCCATGGCTGCATTTATATTTTTGTTCAGTAGATATATATATATATATATATATATATATATATATATATACATATATATATATTTAAAAAAAAACTATATAATACTTTTATATATTTTTTATTTCGTATTTTGTGTGGATTAACGTTAGTTCTATTTTCCCCGTAGTGGAATTACTTTTCTTTTGTTAAGTTTTTCACCCCCGTCCAGTTGGTGGGGACAATACTCCTTTTGCGTGTAGTTCGCCAATAAACCCGAAGAAGAAGAAGCAGAAGAAGGCTTATTTTCGTGGACAGTTTTTGTGCGGAGTAAAATCGCTCGATAAGCCTCTTCATCTCTGTTAGAAAGCAACTGTGAACACGCTAGCGCGGTTGTATATTTAGATTTTATTGAAAAACTCGCAAATATGTCCGGAAGAGAAGGTAAGATTAACATTTACATATGTTACATACACCTCGGTATTTATTTTCAGGTGAAACTTAATATTGACTCTAACGTACTAGATAGAAAGTTGGCTAGCTACGACTGTCCAGTGTATCTAGCTAGCTGGAATACCTGGCGCCTGGCAAGCCATGCTACTAACTTAGGCTAGAAAGCTGAATCTATTTACAGAATTGGCATTCGTGTGTACCGTATATGCCCATAAATTGCTGATTGCTCAAACCATCTTACTAACTGCTGCTAATTAATACATATATCGAAGTTATTCTAGATGGTTAGCTGTGTAATGTGTAAAATTGGCCCGCATGTCATGATCAGTTTAGCTAGCTAGCTTCCTACCTCCTGAAGGCTTCTGTGTGTGACGCGCTTATGCGGGATTCATTCATATTTTCATTCATTCATGATACATTGATTCATATTAATTCAATGGGATATATTCTTGTATTATAGGTGGTAAAAAGAAGCCCCTAAAAGCTGCCAAGAAAGCGACCAAGGAGATGGATGATGTAAGTTTGTCATTGTGTTGGCACGATGTTAATATGTAATATAAACTATTCTAATGAGTGAACACTCTGTGTTTTTCTAAATGTTGGAATTAAAATATAGACTACCTGTATTTCCATTGGAATCCTGATCACATTTGCTTAATGTCAAATCCAGGATGAAATGGCTTTCAAACTGAAGCAGAAAGAAGACCAGAAAGCCTTGGAGGCATTGAAGACGAAAGCAGCAGGAAAGGGACCATTAAGTAAGAATAATTTATTTGTTTTTGTTGACTATCAGAATCTAATCAGGATTCCTAAGTTTTTCTGATTTACTGAACAGCCAAAAGTAATCAAAGGGTGGACTTTCAATTCCCCCCAAATCTACCCCCAACTGACTCCAGATATACAGAGTATTATTTTCCCTTTCCAATGTTTGTAATTGTTTTATACTGCAGGGGGATAACGCCCAATAGCCCAAAGAAAAAGCATCGCAAGCGAGTCAATGCTGAGCTGAGGAGAATAAGCCTAGTGATTCTGATGTCACTAGATGGCAGTGTTAGCTTTCTGGGTTTTCTTGCCCTGTCATTCAATGTACTCTGCTTGCCACAGCTGTTTTAGTAGTCCCTCTGTCTACTTGAGTTTTCTAGAAAAAGTGAAACATATATTTTGCACGGTTTTCTCATTCTCTTGATTTTTCCTTTTCTTTCAGCTGGTGGAGGAATCAAGAAGTCTGGAAAGAAGTGATTATGCATTTGAAGATCATGGAATCATTTTGTTGCTGAATCACAGCCCACGGTCAAATCCAACCCCTGCTAACCCCTCCCCCTTATCTTTTCACGTGGGTCCATTGTAGAAAGAGGGAAAAACATGTAATGACCTTTTTGAATAATTTCCGATGTGTTCTTGTAAAGAAAGCTCTGAAAGAAAGTATTGTAACTACTGCAGTATTTTCACTTAATCTAGATTGAGATTCTGTCAAGAAACACGTCAGTATTAGATCAGTAGCTACACTAGAGATACAAACATGACATACAGTACAAATATGACTAGTATTGTGGTAAGATTTAATCACAGTTCAATGTAACTTTTCCCAAGCTTGGCCATCTGCATCTTCAGCACCTGTATCTCCAAATTCAGCTTCTCTTATTGGAGGAGGCTTCTCCAGCTCCATCACCTCTTCACACACTCCCTCTTGTCCATGTACAGGGTTCTATTTCCCAGTCCCCGAACCTGAAAAGGAGTTATTTTTATCTACAATTATTTTGCTGTGCAGATGTCTACACAATATTTGTTGAATGTGCTTGGGAGTGATATGTGCATTTGTGTGTGGAGTGATATGTGTAAAGATGTTGCCGTTTTGACGATTTTCTTTGAAAGGAAAGTTTTGGAGATTCAGAATAAAGAGCAATGATGCTGCTTACTCTGTTCTGTAGGTGTTGATCTTTTCAGCTCTACCTCCACAGGGTAATGGTCGCTCACCTTCAGGGCCTAATAAAGCATGGTAGTTACATGTTGAGACATAAGCCAGAGGGCTCAACTTTTATATGTACTTTATTGCTAGTCCCCTTTTATGTGTATTTCTAGAACCGTTTTTTCAAAATGTAGGCTACTAACATGTTCATTTCATCTAGTTATAATATTGTAATCAAACCATCTACCAGGATTGAACTCGTCTGTAACATGCATACTTACATCTTCTTCAGAAAGACCATATGCAATCTGGAAGTTGAATGGTTTGGCAGAGTTTGGCACCATGGCGTCAAGCATGTCATCTCCATAGATCACAATCCTAGATGTTGATCAGAAGATCAAGTCAGCAGTCATTCCATATTACACACAAGTAATTGTTTTTTATGAAACCTTATAACATTTTAACGACCATTTATCAATACCAAAAAAATTACATCTCAGGTTTCATGAGGCATTCATAAATGTATTTCACAAATCACAGTGAGCAACCTGTCATAAGTGTTCTCGTTGCCTGTGTTTGCTGTGGTATCCACGTCATCTTTAATTAGCCAGTGGAAATTTTTGTCACTGCGGATACGGAGGACTTTCATGCCCTTTTTAGAAAGGTAGGACCCGTCTGCGTTGAAGTCACCTAGGATCATAACGTTCTGGTACAGAGAGAAACATTCCACAACAAAGTTACTTGTAATCCTGAGAGCAGTTAAATCGATGTTATTCTCATATATAGTTATCTTGAAATCACCATGTGGCTAGTTTTGTATTTTACTTGTCAAAGCCTCATATATATTGTAGGATTTGGTGTCAAGTACACTTTCTAAATCCAAGGGTGGTGTTAAGCTCTGTCAATGGTTTAGCTCAGAACTTACATCAGTCTTCCATTTCTTTGTCACTTCCAGGAAGACATCATAAAGCTCATCCAGCTCCTTCTCTGAGTCGTCAGGCTTGGTGTGCACTGGGATCAGTACCAAGTCCTTCAGCACTGAGAAACACAGGAAGAGATTAGAAGTATATATTACAGCTGTTTATTAATGGTATTTTATTCTCTGCTGCAATCTCCAGCTGTCTGTCTGTTTGCCATTCACTTTCATATTATTTGCCAGAGATGGGACCAAGTCACCATTTTGCAAATCCTAAGCAAGTCTCAAGTCTTAACCTTCGAGTCTCGAGGCAAGTCTCAAGTATAGTCCAATGTTCCTCAGCTCAGGTCGAGTCAAGTCACAAGTCCCTAATTTTGGGTTTTGAGTACCTCAAGTCAATGGTTAAGTGTTTTATGCAAATGTCATTGCAATTGCAATGCATCATTGATTTTGGATCCACATGTTTTACTAACTGCATCCCTTTTCCCCCCATTACCACCTAATCTTTGCCCTGATGCAGAGGTGGCACCACAGGTCCCAAAGTGGTGGGGCAAATTGTTTTCCCTGGGGCCCGGAGCTTTTCCTCATCTGGGAACCTAAGCAGGTATAAATCAGGAGGGGGGATGCAGAAAAAAGATGCCTGCGCTGAAGATGTCTATATCGGAAGGCCCTGTGAACTACTTTAGTGAAAACATTTAAACTAAATGTATTTGAGTGTTTACCAGCATTTGTAACTTGAGTCTGATAATTATATGCACAAAACAGTTAATCTGATAATATATTGTGGAATATAAAAAGACTTGCTTGATATGTTTTCCAGTTTTTTGAAATACTTTGTAAATGCAACTTATTTCTATGTGTAAACTGAAATGGTCTATTCATTCCTTTTCCATTTTAGTATCCAGAGCCACTTACGGTAGTGAGTGCATACATTTTCATACTTTGTTGTACTGGTCCACCGTGGGAATCGAACCCACAACCCTAGCATCACAAACCACTTGATGTCTCAATGTACTCAATTACTGTATTGTGCATTGTTTTTCTTCATGGTGATGGAAAGTCTACAGGTACAAACCTAGATGACCAGCCTATGTACAATACAGTAATTTGGCATGGGTCCTCAGATCCTCAAAAGGTTCTACAGCTGCACCATCGAGAGCATCCTGACTGGTTGCGTCACTGCCTGGTATGGCAACTGCTCGGCCTCCGACCGCAAGGCACTACAGAGGGTAGTGCGTACGACCCAGTACATCACTGGGGCCAAGCTTCCTGCCATCCAGGACCTCTATACCAGGCGGTGTCAGAGGAAGGCCCTAAAAATTGTCAACGACTCCAGCCACCCTAGTCATAGACTGTTCTCTCTGCTTCCGCACGGCAAGCGGTACCGGAGTGCCAAATCTAGGTCCAAGAGGTTTCTAAACAGCTTCTACCCCCAAGCCATAAGACTCCTGAACATCTAATCAAATGGCTACCTAGACTATTTGCACTGCCCCCCCACCCCTCTTTTACGCTGCTGCTACTCTCTGTTTATTATCTATGCATAGTCACTTTAATAACTCTACCTATATGTACATATGACCCCAATTACCTCGACTAACCGGTGCCCCCACACATTGACTCGGTACCGGTACCCCCTGTATATAGCCTCGCTATTGTTATTTTTACTGCTGCTCTTTAATTATTTGTTACTTTTATTTCGTATTATTTTATATTGTATTTTTATGTGATTTTTTTGGGCATTCTTTCTTAAAACTGCATTGTTGGTCAAGGGCTTGTAAGTAAGCATTTCACTGTAAGGTCTACACCTGCATGTGACATAAAATTTGATTTGATTTGATTTGATGTACATTTACAATTGGTTTGTAATGATGGTAAATGAATACTGCACAAAAAGTCGTTGTTTTCCATTTTATTTGATCAAGAAAAATATTTTATTTCATGTGGATGTTTTGTGTCTTTGCCCATAACTTTGCAACTTTTGATGTAAATGTTTGAGGATGGGTTTTGTTCTTTTCTGGATTCCATTAGAATCGCAGAGAAAGTGACATGGCAACAACTCGTACAATTCCAACTATTAAATCGTGCAAGATACTGTTCTTAATTATACAACTACCTTTTTTTGCCAAAGCAGAGATGCTGATTATTATAATTTTTGCCTGCGCTACAGACGTCTATATCGGTCCGCTAATACTAGTAAAGGCCGAGTGCACTACTTTAGTGAGAAAAAAAGAATATATATATATATTTTTCTTATTAACATTTGTTTTTCATTCAGATTTTTCAGGGGGTGCTGCAGCACGCTCAGCATCCCTACTTCCTGCTTACTGACTAAAATGTCAATGTAAAATCACATTCACATGTTCTCCTAACACAAATAAATGGGCTATAAATAGGCTACATAAAATTACCACGTTTACCCAGAGGGCCAGAGGGCCAGAGGGCCAGAGGGCGCATTGGCTGTAGCCTATGCAGCTGCAGGCTGTGGTTGTTATCAGTAGCCTAGTTGATGAGACTGAAAAATCATCTAAATGAAAGACAGATAGGTCTACATTGTGCGCGAGATGACAAATCGAGTCTCTCGAGTCATACAGCTCAAGTCCAAGTTGAGTCACGAGTCATAGAAGCTCAAGTCGAAGTCGAGTGGCAAGTGTTTTTTTCTTTTTGCCAAGTCAAGTCTCAAGTAGAACAATTAGTAGTACTCCAGTCCAAGTAATGTGACTTGAGTCACACATCTCTGTTATTTGCTAAATCAAATTGCATTTGGATGGATCACTCTTAATTCTAGTGCTCCTATGCCCCTTACCAGTGTTGAGACATTTGAAGCGGAGAATGTACGGCTCCCTGGCGAAGGCATCCACATCTCCAGCCTGGTTGTCCTCATATTGCCAGGAGCCGACCAAGTCCACCAAATCATCCCTTTCAGAACAAACAATGCAACACATTTAATAGCATTAGTCCTGCATAAAAAAAGAATAATCAGATCACCATGTAAAAAATGAATGGCATCAGATAAGTTTTATGAAGGTAAAGTTGACCATGGGTTTGAATTGTACCTGTACAGAAACATAAACTGCTCCTTGTATCTGTTTCTTCCCAGACGAGTGCTGATTTTCAGAGTGTAGTGATGTTTCTTATTGGCCCTGTTTGGACAAGAACACAAGATCAATGAGTGATACGTGTATTCCAGGGGTGACAAACTCATTCCATGGAGGGCCTAGGGCCTAGTGTGGGGAGTTCCTAATTAGCGACCTTAATTCATCACTCAAGTACAAGGGAGGAGCAAAAATCCACAGCCACTCAGCCCGTCGTGGAACCAGTTTGACACCTGTGGTGTAGGGCCAGGAGTATTTCCCAGATATATAGTTATAGTGTCTCATGGTCCGGAAAACCATCAGCCTACAGCACCCTGATATGACCATTCAAATCACTGTTATGAAATTACACAGCCTTGAGACTTACTTATTTAATTCCTCCAGGAACTCGTTCACTGAAGTACCGCTCACATCCACCACCTCCAGAATCACTATGATGTCATAGCGAGACACAATCTGATAGGACGAAAGGAAGGAAAAGGAGAAAAAGTTCATTAGTTTATCTGTTTATGTATAGGACAACATCCTTGTTTTGAGGATAGTTTGCCAAATGTTTCTGTGAGGGAATTACACTGAACAAAAATATAAATGCAACATGTAAAGTGAAATAAAAGATACCAGACATTTTCCATATGCACAAAAAGCTTATTTCTCTCAAATGTTGTGCACAAATTTGTTTACATCCCTGTTAGTGAGCATTTCTCATTTTCCAAGATAATCCATCCACCTGAGAGGTGTGGCATATCAAGAAGCTGATTAAACAGCACGATCATTACACAGGTGCATCTTGTGCTGGGGACAAAAAAATGCCACTCTAAAATGTGCAGTTTTGTCACACAACACAATGCCACAGATGTCTCAAGTTTTGAGGGAGCATGCAATTGACATGCTGACTGTAGGAATGTCCACCAGAGCTGTTGCCAGAGAATTGCATGTTAATTTTTCTACGATAAGCCTCCTCCAACGTCATTTTAGAGAACTTGGCAGTACGTCCAACCAGCTTCACAACCGCCAACCACGTGTAACAACGCCAGCCCAGGACCTCCACATCTGGCTTCTTATATATATATATATATTTTTGTTGGTATTTTACCCCCTTTTTCTCCTCAATTTCGTGGTATCCAATTGGTAGTTACAGTCTTGTCCCATCGCTGCAACTCCCGTATGGACACGGGAGAGGCGAAGGTCGAGAGTCGTGCGTCCTCCGAAACACGACCCTGCCAAGCCGCACTGCTTCTTGACACAGTGCCCGCTTAACCCGGAAGCCAGCCGCACCAATGTGTCGGAGGAAACACCGTACACCTGGCGACCGAGTCAGCGTGCACTGCGCCCGGCCCGCCACAGGAGTCGCTAGTGCGCGATGGGACAAGAACATCCCTGCCGGCCAAACCCTCCCCTACCCTGGACGACGCTGGGCCAATTGTGCGCTGCCTCATGGGTCTCCCGGTCGCGGCCGGCTGCGACAGAGCCTGGACTCAAACCAGGATCTCTAGTGGCACAGCTAGCACTGCGATGCAGTGCCTTAGACCACTGCGCCACTTGGGAGGCCCCACATCCGGCTTCTTAACCTGCGGGATCGTCTGAGACCAGCCACCCAGACAGCAACTGCTCACCTTTGATTGCCACTGGCACGCTGGAGAAGTGTGCTCTTCACAGACGAATCCCGGTTTCAACTGTACCGGGCAGATGGCATCGTGTGGGCGAGTGGTTTGCTGATGTCAACATTGTGAACAGAGTGCCCCATGGTGGCGGTGGGGTTATGGTATGGGCAGGCATAAGCTATGGACAATGAACACAATTGCATTTTATCAATGTCAATTTGAATTCACAGAGATACGGTGACGAGATCCTGAGGCCCATTGTCGTGCCATTCATCCGCCGCCATCATCGCATGTTTCAGCATGATAATGCACAGCCCCATGTCGCAAGGATCTGTACACAATTCCTGGAAGCTGAAAATGTCCCAGTTCTTCCATGGCCTGCATACAAACCTGACATGTCAGCCATTGAGCATGTTTGGGATGCTCTGTATCAATGTGTACAACAGTGTGTCCCAGTTCCCGCCAATATCCAGCAACTTCATACAGCCATTGAAGAGGAGTGGGACAACATTCCACAGGCCACAATCAACAGCCTGATCAACTCTATACAAAGGAGATGTGTCGTGATGCATGAGGCAAATGGTGGTCACACCAGATACTGACTGGTTTTCTGATCCACGCCCCTAACTTTGTTTTAAAGGTATCTGTGACCAACAGATGGATATCTGTATCCCCAGTAATGTAAAATCCATAGATTATGGCCTAATGCATTTATTTCAATTGACTGATTTCCTTATATGAACTGTAACTCAGTAAAATCTTTGAAATTGTTGCATGTTGCGTTTATATTTTTGTTCAGTGTATAATATCAGGAATACGTACAATCATATAACTGTACCTTCACAAGGATAGCAAAGGTCTGTGGGTCTGATAGCTTACGCTTCCCAAATTTCTGGATGTTGAAAGATGCAACCTTCATGACTGCTGCTGGAAAAAGAGAAAAAGAAAATCACATTCATGTTTTCACATCCATGTCAAACTCATGAACTACTAGTTGATCAAACAAGCAAAGATTCCAGAGAAAGGAAGTCATTACCTAAACCAATAAAAGTTTAATAGCCTACTTGTGTTTACTGCCCTTAATGCACAACAGCAGTGTCTCATAAATGGCTCAACACAAGGAAACATGCTTCAGGACATACATCAGGATATACTCTGTCCATCTGGCTAGATTCTTGTTATAAAATCCCTGATGCAAAGGTAGGGTTTCTATTGGTATGGCCACATGCTGAAACTATTTTAGTGAAAGTGTTGGAAATCATGTCTCTGTGGACACCTATTTAAAACCTTTAAGAAAGGGTTCTTCGGCTTGACCCTGTAGAACCCTTTATGGTTCCACTATTTGGTATCAAGAGTACTTGTCATATCAACGGTTACTCACGGTTGGGTGGAGGTGAAACTAGTTAATCAAGGTAGGATGGAGCTGGATAAACTCGAGCTGAGGCTTTCAAATGCAAACGCTTCAAGATGAGTGGATCAGTTGACAACAGAATGGAGGGTTAGTGTAGGCTTTGTAACTCCATATGTGTAATTCCTCACCAGACGTGAAATTCCTGGTTGTGAGGAATTCCACCAAGCAGGACAGATAAAAAAACACATGACATCACTTTAGTCCTACAGTGACTCAGCCTATGGACTGGGAGTAGGTTACTGTAGTAACAGTCTGTTACTGATGCTAACTTCTATTTGTTTTGCAATTAACAGGGTTTCTTCTCACAGAATAGTAGTTCTGGATGACTGGCTGGAACAGAATTACGAATTCCATGTCATGTAGGTAGCATGCAAAAACAATCCAGCATGTTTCAGGCAAATGAAACCACTTGAGTTGTAAAAGGATGTAACATGATCTCTGTTGACAAGCTCAAACATGCTCAGACATTACCTGTGGTATATTGTGTGGGAAGGGGCTTACAAGAATGTTCTATCTGGTTTCTTTCACTGACAAACTTGCAAAACCAAATGATATATTTTACCATAAGTTCAAATACTTCCAAACCCTAATAGCACGATAATAACTGAAGGCTTAGAACAGTGTTTCCCAACTCCAGTCCTCCAGTACCCCCAACAGTGTTTCCCAACTCCAGTCCTCCAGTACCCCCAACAGTGGTTCCCAACTCCAGTCCTCCAGTACCCCCAACAGTGTTTCCCAACTCCAGTCCTCCAGTACCCCCAACAGTGTTTCCTAACTCCAGTCCTCCAGTACCCCCAACAGTGTTTCCCAACTCCAGTCCTCCAGTACCCCCAACAGTGGTTCCCAACTCCAGTCCTCCAGTACCCCCAACAGTGGTTCCCAACTCCAGTCCTCCAGTACCCCCAACAGTGTTTCCCAACTCCAGTCCTCCAGTACCCCAACAGTGTTTCCCAACTCCAGTCCTCCAGTACCCCCAACAGTGGTTCCCAACTCCAGTCCTCCAGTACCCCCAACAGTGTTTCCCAACTCCAGTCCTCCAGTACCCCCAACAGTATGCATTTGTATTGTAGCCCTGGACAAGATCACCTGATTCAACTTGTCAACTAATCATCAAGTTTTTCCAGGACTACAACAAAAATGTGTGCTGTTGAGAGTACTCAATCACTGGAGTTGGGAAACACTTGCTTAGAGAGAATGATCTCTGTAGAGTTGGCTACATTTCCAACATTTCACAATTCCCTAGCCTTTTATTGCAAAGCAAAACAATAATCAAGAAGAACATCTAAAATATTCAGAGAGAGTATTCCAAATAGTTTGTGCTGGAGTCTGCATACAAATGAAAGAATACCTGATATATGTCAATTCCAGTTCGACTTCACTTACCTGAAGGGATGATAGGCTCTACGATGTTGTGGTGCAGTAGAAGATGTGGTATCTTGTTCATCAATGAACAACTGTAACTTTCTCGGGCTTGGCCTTCTTGTAGCGATCACCTGATTGGATGAAACTTGTGTGCCAAGCCCCTGGTTGGTTGGGAGGCCCTATAGACAGGCCCCAGCTAAACCAGCCAGTACATGATAACCATAACATCAACACACCAGTCTTCACTGCACACCACAACATTCCTGCCCACACACTTATCTCCGAGATCCCCCACAACGACATCTGGAAGTGGCTTAGCTTTCTCTTGGAGGATATAGAAGTATTATAAACCTGTTAGTTCGAGCACTGGATGCTGATTGGCTGAGACAATATACCACAGGTATTATGCAAAAAAAACTGGTTTACTGTTCTATTTACGATAGTCACCTGTTTATAATAGCAATAAGGCACCTCTGGGGTTTGTGGTATATCATATCAAATTCAAATCTAATTTTATTTGTCACATGCTTAGTAGACAACAGGTGTAGACTAACAGTGAAATGCTTACTTACGGGTCCATTTCCAACAATGCAGAGTTAAAGATGAGATACAAAATGAATAAAAAATAGAAATAGTGACACAGTGAATAAGGAATAAAAATAACAATTAAAAATAACATGGCTATATACAGGGAGTAGAAAATAACATGGTTAAATACAGGGAGTAGAAAATAACATGGTTATATACATGGTGTACCAGTACCAAGTCAATGTGCAGGTGTACGAGGTAATTGAGGTAGATATGGTACATCTAGATAGGGATAAAGTGACTAGGTAACAGGATAGATTATAAACACTAGCAGCAGCATATGTGGTGTGTGAAAGTGTGTGTGTGTGTGTAAGTGTAGCGTCAGTATGCATGTGTGTGTGCATGTTATGTGTGTGTGGGTGTATGTAGTGTGTCTGGGTGTGTGTGTATGTGTATGTGTGTGTGTGTGTGTGTGTGTGTGTGTGTGTTGGGGTGTCAGTATAAGTATGCGTGAGTGTGTGGGTAGAATCCAGTGTGTGTGCATAAAGTCAGTGCAAGAGAGTTAGTGTAAAAAAAGGTCAATGTAAGGTGTAGTGTATTAGCGGCACCTAGTGGTGCAATACCAGTGGGTCACTAGGAGACACGTGAGGAACAGAGGGAGGCTAGGCTTGGGGGACCAGGAATAAAGTACAAGTCAATGATTCCCGTGAGTCTGAGTCAAGTCTATACATTACAGCAGGTAGTCCAGGTAGCCATTTGATTAGCTATTTAGCAGTCTTGTTTAGAAGTGTTATTCAAGGTCCTGTTGGCTCCAGACTTGCATTGGTACTGCTTGCCGTGTGGTAGCAGAGAGAACAGTCTGTGGCTTGGGTGGCTGGAGTCTATACCGCCTGGTATAGAGGTCCTGGATGGCAGGGAGCTCGCCCCCAGTGATGTACTGGGCCGTACGCACCACCCTCTGTAGCTCCTTGTGGTCGGATGTTTGGAGATGTGTTATCATAATGGTTAGTCAAACATCTAAGAAGATGAGGGGTGTAGTGTGTTATTACAGCTTGCCCCACTGACATGTCATAACTGTGATTATGATCTAAGCAGCACTATCAAATGCCAGCGAGACAGTGGCTCAACTTGTTAAATACTCGGCTACAGAGACTTTATGCAAGTAATGCAGGACGGAGATGTAAAGCCACAACCAAGCAAGGCTAAGGCTAATGCTGCACGATGGCTGGGTTATTACACCAGTAGTGGAGTATGAACTACAAGCCAATCATGACGGGGAAACATATGTGCAAGAATTCCAAGGGGTGGAAACCTTGCAAAAGCCTCTCCTTTCAGCAGAAACGTGTGAAAAGCTCAACCTGCTCCAGCTCAACCACCAGCATGTCGTTCATCATGTCAGCACCAAAGAAACAACAAAAGGCCCCGTCAGACTTGAACACCTCAGAGGCAATACTGAAACAGTTTGAGGATGTTTTTGAAGGGATGGGGACTCTGCCAGGTGAGCTCCAACTGGTGGTGGATGAGTCTGTCAGACCAGTTCAACCGCTTCCCCGCCAAATCCCCATTCCACTGAAAGAAAAGATACTAAAGTCTGTTGATTCGATGGAGGAACAGGGTGTGATTACGAAGGTCACCAAACCTACTAAGTGGATAAGCAGCATGGTTGTGGTGGAAAAACCTGTCAAAATAAGAGTCCAAGTGCCCTGAACAAAGCCTTATGTAGGGCACATGACCAAATGCCTACCATTGAAGAGGTACTGCCAAGCCTGGCAAAAGCGATAATCTTTTCTGTTATGGATGCATAAATGGATACTGGCAGGTACGTTTAGATGAAGAAGGCAGTTACCTCACCACATTTTGGACCCCCAAGGGGAGATACCGGCGGAAAAGGTTACCTTTTGGAGTGAAACCAGCTGCAGAGGAATATCAGCCAAGGCAACATGATGCACTTCAGGGACTGACAGGAATAAGCGTCATAGCTGATGACATCACGGCTGTGGTGCCACAATGGAAGAAGCAGTGCAGGACCATGACCACAACCTGACTCAGCTCCTACAAAGAGCAAGAGAGATGAATCTAAAGCTGAATAAAGACAAAGTTAATCTTAGGCTCACAAGTATTACATACATGGGGCATCTCTTGACAGCTGAAGGCCTGAAAGTAGACCCCAAGAAGGTGTAGGCAGTACAGAAAATGCTGCCACCTACAGACGCAAAAGCAGTGCAGCGACTGCTTGGTTTTGTAAATTACTTAAGTCAAATTCCTACCTCATCTATGTGCCTTATGTGAGCCATTGCGTCGGCTGACCAATAAAGATGCTCTGTGGGTGTGGCTTCCTCAACATGATGCTGAATTGGAGCAAATCAAGAAATTGGTAAGCAACCAACCAATACAGAGGTACTATGACCTCTCTGAGGAAGTGACCCTACAATGGGCCGCCCATTGCATTTGCTTCAAGGATATTGACACCCACAGAACAAGGATACGCCCAAATTATAAAAAGGAGTGCCTAGCCATAGTGGTCGTCTGTGAACGTTTTGATCAATACCTTCATGGTAGGGACTCTATCACGGTGCACACCGACCACAAGCTGCTTGAGGTTATCTTCAAAAAAACTTTTCTGTCTGCCCCCGAAGAGACTACAAAGGATGATGCTAAAGCTTCAGCGTTATCAACTACAGGTAGTATACAAGAAAGGAATAGAGCTCCACGTTGCAAATTTCTTGTCCAGGTCAGCACCCCCGGCAACTAGTCACCCGCAATATCAGACAAATGAGACTGTATATGCTCTACAGGCTGAGTTTGAAGATGTGAACCATGCTACTGATCAAAACATGTCCCCACTGACACGGGATGCTATCAAAGCTAACTGACAGTGGTGTAGGTACGGATAATGGGCTCCAGTTCACGAGTCAAGACTTTGCTTTTTTTTGTTTTAGCAAAAGCCTGTGAGTTACATCATGTGACCTCCTCACCCTACCACAGTCAGAGTAATGTTAAGGTGGAGTCAGCAGTGAAAATAGCAAAGACCCTCATCACAAAGGCAATGCAGAAAGGCACAGATGTGTGGCAAGCCATTTTGGCGTTGAGAAATACTCCCACAGAGGGCTTCGGCAGCAGCCCTGTACAGCGCTTAATGTCTAGACTCTAGACGCTCTCTGTCGCCAACAACTCCCAAGCTCCTCGCACCAAAGCTCATTAGGGACGTTCAGGCACACAAGCGTGCACGAGATGGCGCTAGTGGGTCACCTATCTAGGATAGATAAACAGGTGCATTATGACTGTCGTGACCTCTAACATGTTATACCTGAGTAAAGGATTATGCTTGCATCTTATCTAACTCTCAGACGTGAGTTATTCACATTCACATATGAACAGTAAGTACACAGCAATGACAAATATAGATGAAAACTCTCTTGGTAGATAGTATGGTCTACATCTTATCATGAGGTATTATAACTCAGGCGTGTTCAGAACGCTGCCGTTCTGTCCTGCCGAGGCAGAGAAAAACCAGCTAGATTTATATTAGGATATTTCAGTTCTTCAGCTTTCTTTCAGATATTACACGTTTCTAATTTTGTCAGAAAGTTGTTTTAATTGCAAGTTAAAGCTTACTGTTAGCTAACTAGCTGACGTTAGGTGTCTGGCTCGCTAGCCAACATTAAGTGTATGATCTTTCATACAAGGAGAATGGTTTCATGCCTCCCATCAAAAAGAGAGCTGGCCCAAGCAAGAACAGAGTCTATCTGTTCATCAGTGGTCACATGACTCTCTCTTTCAAGTCATTTCAGTTCAAGTCAAGTCATGCTGTAGATGTTTATCAGTGGAACAAGCAGCTAAGGATGGAAGCGTCACAACCTATAACCAGAGGAGGCTCTTAGCAACCCAAAACATGTTTACAGTATTAGTCTGTGATTATAAAAATAAGCAAACCCCAGGGGGTGTTAGGAGGATTTGGGGACATTTTCAGAAAATTGGTATGACATTAAGCACTTCTTTGAGTCAATAAAAAAGTAAACAATTGTTCACAAAAAAGGAAAAACATAAGCTACCCCACCCAGCTATCAGGAGATCCAGACACATCCTGGATACCACCAGCACCAGATTTACAATACCTTTAGAGCTATTCATAGGCTACCCATGATGACAGATGACACATACCTATTCCAGATAAGTACTGTTTATGTATCCCTCTCCCCGCCCGCACCCACAGCTTTTCATACAGCACCCGCCCACACCCGCTGGCTTTCTGTCCGGACTCCCCACCTGCTACCGCAAGAACTGGTCCGAACCCACCCGCAGTGCCGCAATGTTATTTTAGGCGTATGTGACGCAATTCACTTGCCAACCATGGTCCCAGCAATATCAAAATGCACAAAAATAACCCCCCAAAATAGGTTAAATCACCAGAGATTCTCACGTGTCAAATGATATTAGGCTTTCGGTATTACTGGGCTATACCAGCCAATAGGCTAGACAGACACTGAGTGAACAAAACATTAGGACCACCTTCCTAATATTAGGTTGCATCCCCTTTTGTCCTCAGAACAGCCTCAATTCGTTAGGGCATGGACTCTGCAAGGTGTCAA